GACCTCGTCTCCATCGCCTTAGTCGTGTCTCTAGGAGTTTCTCAGGTGGCACGCCTTCATCTCTGCCTTGGAAACATTCTCCTTACCTACAGAGTAAGACCTCCAACACTATATAAACACATGAGTCATAAAAATGGGGGTGACTTAAGAAATTATCCAGCCTAATGGGTTTCAAATGTACCCTAGGAGCATTTTGCTATCTTTAAATGAAATCTTTTCTAGAAATAGATATATTTGAAAAGTTGTATAATATATATATGTATATAATTTACATTATATTATATTGACTTACATTATATTAATGTAAATCCTTTCTGGAAGTACTTACATATTTATACTGTGCAGATAGGAAGAAAGAGAGAGATATGTGAGTGAGTTGTTGGTTTTAGCTGGTGTGTGCATATGTATGTTTTGTGTGTTTGTGTGTTCATTCATACATGTCCTCTTCTTGCCTTACCTGTTATGTGTGTGCATGTGTGTATATATTTGTGTATACATATACACAGATGTATGTATATTTGTGAATGAACCATAACATTCACAGATATACAAATATATATATTTGCACACTCACACACATAGGTGTGTATGCATGTCTCTGAATGATATGTTTCTGGAAAATACCTTGTTTGGAGAATTTCCATAGTAAGGCCCTGTCATGCTGGAGACCTGGGCTCTGTGTAGGCAGAGTTGGCTTCTCTGGTTAAAAGGAGACAAGTAGAATAGAGACTGACCCCTTCCACAACCTCTTAAGAACTTGATGTAACGACTAATATGCTACTGCTAAGTCAGTTCAGTCACGTCTGACTCTGTGCGACCCCATCCCTGGGATTCTCCAGGCAAGAACACTGGAGTGGGTTGCCATTTCCTTTTCCAGTGCATAAAAGTGAAAAGTGAAAGTGAAATCGCTCAGTCATGTCCGACTCTTCGCGACCCCATGGACTGCAGCCTACCGGGCTCCTCTGTCCATGGGATTTTCCAGGCAAGAGTACTGGAGTGGGGTGCCATTGCCTTCTCTCAACGACTGATATAGGGCAGTACTTTTTCATTAAAGATAAGAAAACAGGCTCAGGGAAGACAGGGTCTTTCCTGAGGCCTCTTGATAAAAGAAACCTTGAGCCTAGGTCTTCCTACATCAAGTCCTGGGTCCTTTGCCTGCATCAGGTCACCTTTTATTTTCTTCTTTGCTGCCCTCCATAGCACCTAATACTAGATACCTCATCCCTGTCGCATTATCTCGGTGCATGTGGTGGGAGGACATGCCTTGTCTAAGGTGTGTGCTCTGCATGTCAGCGGTGCCAGCCACACCGCTCCCGTTCTTTTGGGTCAGTGCTGCACGCTTTGAAGAGGAGGTCGTGCTAATGTCAGAGCCGGGAGGAGTCAGCAAAAGGACTCCTGCTGTCAAGGAAGAAGCCATCTCTCAGGACACAGCTTGGAAACTCTTGAGCACAGATAGCTGCCTTTGGAGGGGGAAAAAAAAGTCAAAGACAGGGGCAAGGCCTGTCATAAGAACTAAGAATTGTGCCCTTCCTTATGGGTCTCCAGGTCCTCAGACCTGCTGCCATTTCATCCCCAGTAATCCAGGAGTGCAGGCATCCTCACCGGAGCAAACTGAGGCTGCCAGAGGTTACACGATGGACCCGACCCACATGGACTGCCTGGAAGTGGCCGAGCCAACAGCCTCTACTCCAGCTCCCTCCCAGAACTGCCAGTTATGCATCTTAGCACGGTGCTCTTCAGGGAGGGAGATGGATGGGCAAGGCCTGGGATGGAGCTTCAGTCAGCCTTGGCCTCCCTGCCTGTGGTGGAGCAGGAAAGGGCCAGAGGGATGAAGAAGAGAGTGAAACGGAGAGGGTGGGGAGGAAGAGAAGGACGATGTGGTGACCTCTAGCCCGGGCCAGTCGGGTAGGGCTCTTTGGGGCTTCTGGCTGGGCCCCTCCTACATGCCCCAGACACAGCCTCCTGTGGTCATTGTTGCCAGCCTGTTGGGGAATGTGAGCTCCCTGAGGACATGGCAGCCTTGTTCAGGGCTGCAGCCCCAGGGCTGCCCCACGGAGGGCAAAGGGCGTTTAGCAGAGGAAGGAGAGCTCTTAACAGAGGACTTGGGCCCTGGACATGGCTCCACCGGCTGGGTCCTGTTATTTCCATCTTACAAGTGAGGGAATTAGATGTAACAGAGAGGTAAAGAATCATTTACGGAGCCTTCAGGAGTGGGTGAATGTCTAGTGGTGGGCAAAGTTGACAGTTGTTATATATGCCCGGCAGAGCTGGACTTTTCTGGAACTCAGGCTTAGCTTTCCAGGGCACAGCCAGGCTGCCAGGCTCTGAACCCGGAGTGAAGTCTCATTAGCATTCAGAGGGTGAAGTCACCATGGAGGCCGCCATCCAGGGCATTGGGAAGAGAGAGGCTGTTTTAATTACGCCCTGGACTTTTGAACAAATCCTTTTCTCTGCGTGTCTGAGCCCTAGAGACGACAACCTGCGGAAGTGCGCAGTCAGCAGCTGGGCCCACAGTAGCGCCCCTGCGGACTGTGTGCGCCTCTTCCCCTTGGGGTGCCCTCGGGGTGGTGAGAAGCAGTTAGGTGAGGTCGGCCTGGACTTCACCCAGAGTGGGGGAGCTGGGGAGGAGAACGGAGACAAACAGGCCTGCCCCCCTCTGCCAGGCCTCTGTACCCCCCCACCCCTGCCCATCGCGACCATTACAGGATCTGAGCCCAGGCAACGCCCGCCGCTTCCTCCAGCCGTTCCTGAGTCAGTATGGTGGGATCTCTTTGCTGAGCTCCCCACAACCCTCCCTTTCCCAGCTTGGGGGAAGTTTTTGGAGTGGGGGTTGAAATTAAGAAGGGGAGGAGGAGATGAACAGGGTAGAAGTTAGACAAGCACAGATGCCACCACCTGCGACTGGATTCTCAAGAGCTTGTTGACCCCCGGAGCATTTGCCTTGATTCTGTTTGACAGCTCCTTCCCGGGGTAGGGGAGGAGAAGGAGAGCTTGGGGCCAAAGCGCGTTTGACCAGCTCCTGGTAAAGCCCTGATTCGTTTGCTTAGGTTGGCAAACAGTGTCTGCGGACTCGGGGCCGGGGATGAACTAGGTGGATTTTCTGTCTGATACACACGACGTCCAGCATCGGGGTGGGGGGTAAAGGCCTTCGTTCCAGGGCCTCGTGTGTGCCCTGAAGTTCAGACTTGGAGAGCAGAACCACCCAGAGCAGGTGGGGGAAGGGAGAGGGCATGGGCAGAGCAGCGGGGGCCTGGAGCTCTGTTTAGGGGGCTGTCACATACCTGCCTGGTGGTGAAGGAACCACAGCAGCCCCCGAACGGTGCCCCCAGCCTCAGCCTCCTTTCTGAAATTGAGGGGCAGAAGGCAGGCATATCAGGATGGGTGTTTCTCATGAGCGTCCGGTGGTCAAGGCGAGCGGCAGGCTGGTGTCAGGGCCCGAGGTCTAGGTTAACAGTGAGGCCGCATGTGTGCTTCTCATCCCGAGCTGTGCTGAGTGCCCTGCAGGCTGGCCTCTGTCCAGAGGCTGTTCCCTAGCAGACTCACAGGAGGCGGCTTCAGTCCCTTCTCCAGACCTCGGCTTCCTTCACCTAGAGACTCCGGCCTTCATCTCTTGTGCCAGTTCCTTTCTTGGTAATCCCTTATTACCCACTTCTCCACTCTACCCTCAAAACTCTTCCCTTTGTCCAGGAAGTTGCCAAGATAAACACACTGTGCACGTGTTCGGATGCAGCCCTTTACTAGTATAGCTTCAGGGCTGAGAAGTGATTAACTGTTATAAACAGGCTAGGGCTTTGCCCCTATTGTGTGTTCATGAAGCATGGCTTCATATTCTTATATTCTGTTCCCTGAAGGTAAATCCCTCTGGGTAGACATTATCTGTTTGTTTCTTTGTTTGCTGTTTCTCCCACTGTTATGGGAGCTCTGTGACAGAGGATGGAGACTGAGGATGAGGACTTTGTTTTGGATTATTTGGGCCTGCAACAGACACTCCTGGAGACTCTTAGTATGTGAATGCTGCTGGGGGCGGGGGGCTTCCTTCCCCCACCCCTCCGTTAAGACACCGAGTGTCTGGTGTAGTGTGTGGTGGATGCTTCTGAATCAATGAAAGAAGGAATGGAAAGAAGACTAAATGAGTGAGTGAGTGTGTGAAAGGACTTGTGGGATGGGACTGGCCACACTTAGGCCGTCACGGCGGAGGGCCTCTCTATAGAATAATGCTCTTGACCAAGATTTATTGAATGTATCATAAAATGCAGATTCTCCTGCTAACTCCCTGACAGTTAGTCATCTCCTCTTCTGTGTTCTGGGACCCTCTGGTTATTTGGACATGTCTGTCTCTCTTATTAGCCTGAGCTCATTTCTGGCAGGGAATTATTTCATTAACCTTTATATCACTAGTATCTACTGCCTCCTCCTGGCATAGATGGACACCCTCTTCATGGTTGGTTGAAAGTAAGTGAAATGAGATAAAAGTCCTGAAAGTTGGGCTGAATCCACTGAACATCAGGCTCGGAAGCTGGGATGCAGTTTCTCTCTCAAAAACTAGGCGACATCTCAGAATGCCCTGGGGAGCTTTTTAAAAATTCACATTCTGGGGCCCATCCATTTGCATGTGATTGGAGTGGGCCTGGACCTTTTCGTTACTGGTATTTTGTTTTGAATAGTCAGCCCTTGGGGACCCGGGGCAGCCTGCCTAGCACCAGTCTGTAGAGCATCCTTTGGGAGCACTTTGCCATGGACCACACCAAATACACTGGGCTTCAACTCACATTTCCTCCAAGGCTGCTCATCCTTCTTTCCTTAAGCCTTTGGGAGAGTAACTCAACTGAGTTCTTTGGTTCAACCTCCTCAGGGAATAAAATCACCTAGATTTAAAGCCTGTTCCATTCCACGTCTCCTTATCCCAGTTCCTGAAGTTCCTTTTGCGGTTGTCTTGAGGGAAGACTTGGGCCTCAGCCGTCTTTCTCACAGACCTTGCTTCGCTTTTTCCCTGCTGCTAGGCTGTTTGCTGTCAAATGTGGGGGCTGCTTTGAGGCCATCGCACCCAACGAGTTTGTTATGCGGGCCCAGAAGAGCGTGTACCACCTGAGCTGCTTCTGTTGCTGTGTCTGCGAGCGGCAGCTCCAGAAGGGCGATGAGTTTGTCCTGAAGGAGGGGCAGCTGCTCTGCAAAGGGGACTATGAGAAGGAGCGGGAGCTGCTCAGCCTGGTGAGCCCAGCAGCGTCAGACTCAGGTGAGTGACGTGTGGTGGGCGGGAAGCCAGGGGGTAGGAGAGTGGGTTGCAGTGGCAGTCTGGATTGCTTTCTCCCTTAGAAGGCCACCACCAAGGCACCCTGGTTCCGTGACAGGGCAGTGCTGTGCATTCCAGCAAGTTTCTTTATAAGTTCAGAGTAAGTTCTTATCAGTCAGGTGTTGCTGTGATGATACTGTGTAACCAAGGAACCCCAAATTCCTTGGCATACAACCAGAAACATTTATTCACACATTTGCAAGTCTCTGGGTCAACCGAAGTGACTCTGCTTCACACTGAAAGTCTGCAAGTCTCTTAGGATCTGTTGATCTCAGCTGACCTTGGCTCTAGGCTATAGACCAGGTTCAAGTCTGCTCTGTGTGACTGGGTTCAGGCTTGAGAAGCAGCAGCTATGAGGCATGATCTCCTGGAAGTGGTAAAAGTGCAGGAAGGCATGCTTAACCGTTCAATCATGTTTAAAACCTCTACTCATATAATGGCTGCAAGTACTGTGCTGGTCAAATCAAATTAGATGAAACCTGAAGTCTGGGAAGAGGAAATACAGTGCATGCACCTCAAGGCCCTGACAGGGTAGGGATACATAAAACTGTTAAGGAGAATGGTGGATTGGAACCAGTAATCCCATCGGCCACAGTCATGCTAAGCTGCTGTAGCCTTTGTTTCCTCACCTGTCAAGTGGCAAAGCTGGACTCTAAGTAAGGCTTGGTGGGTCACATAAAGAAAGGATCTAGAATATATTTGCTTCACTCACCTAAGACACACCCTCCCTGGAGAGGTTCAGAAACTTTTTGGATTGGGTTTCACAAGGCCAGAGAAATTTCAGCCGCCCAAGTGAAGCATGGAATGCCTTCCCAGGGTGTCAGTCCCACGGGGCAACATTTGTGTTAACCTGGCCTCCCTTTTTGTGGAAGGATCTTATAACCGAACGAGGTCACGTCCCTGTGAACTTAGAAGTTTTTGCCGTTGCCAATTCTAGTCAGGTTCCATGCCACTTGCCATGGCTCACAGGGCCTCTGGGTTCTCACTGCTCATCTCCTCAGCCTCACGGGAGCCTCTGGCCCCTCCCTCTACATTCAGCTCGTATCTGTGTCTCCCACTGACTTCCGCACCTTAAGAGTTCATTCCCTCTCTGTCTCTCTTACTCACTCTTCGGTCTTGCCAGCGTATCCTTAAGCTTCTGTCTAAGACTGACTTCATGGAGGAGCTTTTATTCCCTTGTGCCTGGGGGGTTCACCCTTACCCTCTCCTGCCGTGACATGGATCCCACTTGATTGGGGTTGCTTGTTTGACTGATGTTCTTGCCAGACTGCTAAGCGCGATCAGGGACCATGTATATCTTTTTTTTTTTTTTTTTACCACTGTGTCTGCAGGGTTTAAATACTGAGGGTGCTTGATAAAATCTGTTTTAAAGGGTAAATAAACACATGGGATAGAAGCCCTGTGGGGTGATGCTTGAGTTCAAGAGCTTTAGAGGCGGTCAGCTGGGGACCTCACCTTGGGTATGCCACTTAGATCTGTGAGACTTTGGGCAAGTTTTGGAACCTCTCCAAGCCCTCATCTTTATAGCTGTAAAATGGTGATCATGGTGTCACGGTGATCACGGTGTTAATGCTGATCATGGTGCCTTATATTGGGGAATAAAGTACACATGTATGTTAGCAGTCTGGTGTTTCGCACGTGCCAGCATCTTCATCACAGCTGTGTTTTGTTTCCTTTCCCTCCTGAGGGTTGGTTCTTCGTGCCCAACTCTGACTGCAGCCTCAGGTAAGCTGATACCAGGACAATCCCAGCTTCTGTTGGATTCACTGGACTTAAGTTTTCCTGTACGTTTTAATTTGGGGGAAGTTCCTCCTATTGAACATCTCACTCTGGGGTAGCTGGGCCCACTCTAAACAGCTGCTTAGTAGATCAGCTAGTCCTGTCTTTTCCTTCGGTGCCGTCCTGTACCCAACCACTGGGCCTCCGCTGTGCTATATTGCAAAATCTTCAAATTCGCAAGGGGCTTAAGTGCTATGGGGATCAGAATACCAGCGTGACCTTAGAGAGACATGCAGACCCAGAAGGACATACCATTCTTTCTCACACGGAAATAAATGCTGCGGTCTAGCCTTCCTTGGTACCCAATTGTGTGACTCTTGATGACTGTTTTCCAATTATAGATTTTAATTGGGTACAAACTGTGTGTCAGTGTGCGGCCTCCTCCCCACACACAAAGACAGAAAGAAGCTGGACCTAAGGACCATCAAAAGTGCAGTGTTCAGGACTAGTGGTTGCCCGGGGGGGGTTGGAAGGAGGAGGGATGGATTGGAAGTTTGGGGTTAACAAATGACGCTATTATATATAGAATGGATAAATAACAAGATCTTACTGTACGCACAGGGAACTGTATTCAATATCCTGTGATAAATCATAATGAAAAAGAATTTTTAAAAGAATTTATATATATGTGTGTGTGTGTGTGTATACATATATATATATGTTATATGTGTGTGTGTGTGTGTGTGTGTCTGTGTGTGCTTCCCTGATAGTTCAGTTGGTAAAGAATCTGCCTGCAATGCAGGAGACCCCGGTTTGATTCCTGAGTCAGGAAGATCCGCTGGAGAAGGGATAGGCTACCTACTCCAGTATTCTTGGCTTCCCTTGTGGCTCAGCTGGTAAAGAATCTGCCTGCAATGTGGGAGACCTGGGTTTGATCCCTGGGTTGGGAAGATCCCCTGGAGAATGGAAAGGCTACCCACTCCAGTATTCTGGCCTGGAGAAGTCCATGGGCTGTCTAGTCCAGGGGGTTGCAAAGAGTCAGACACGACTGAGCAACTTTCACTATACATACATACATATGTGTGTATATATAGGGCTTCCCTTGTAGCTCAGTCAGTGAAGAATCTGCCTGCAGTGCAGGAGACCCTGGTTCAATCCCTGGGTCGGGAAGATCCGCTGGAGAAGGAAATGGCAACCCACTCCAGCATTCTTGCCTAGAAAATCCTATGGACAGAGAAGTCTGATGGGCTATAGTCCATGGGTTCATGAGTTGGACATGATTTAGCAACTACATCACCACATATGTGTGCATAATTGAATCATTTTGTTGTAAGTGCAACATAAATTAACACAACACTGTAAGTCAACTATATGTCAATTAAAAAAATAGTGTAATGTTCAGAGCAGGCAAACTGCAGTAGGTCAACAAGTCCACTTCTCTGGCCACATTTTTAGCAATATGTTTCCTAGCTCTAGGCATTTGTTTTTGAGGCTGATATTGACAGACTGGAGCTTTCCCGTTCACTTATTCATGCACTTGTTCAGTAGATGTATCTTGGGTGCTTGCTTTATGCCAGGCATGGTGTCAGGCTGTAAATGACAAGAATAGTCCTCAACCCATGTCAAATTAAGGAATAGTAGATATTTAGGCTAGAAAAGTAGAGAGTAAATGGAGACATAATTATTGACTTCAAATGGTTGGACCAGACCTGTTTTTTTAACCTAGCTTCAGAGAAGAAAATTAGAATCCATTCAATTCTTTAACAGAAACCATTGAGTGTTTATACTATACATGAAGAGACAAAGGGAAGCAATTTTGACTTGACGTAGGAAATGTTATGACATCACTCTAATTATTAGGTCTAACACAGCATAGATGGTTGGATGGCATCATGAACTCAAAGGACATGGGTTTGGGTAGGTTCCGGCAGTTGCTGATGGATAGGGAGGCCTGGCGTGCTGCAGTTCACGAGGTTGCAGAGAGTCGGACACGACTGAGCGACTGAACTGAACTGAGCTGCACATAGTATAACTACTTCCCCGGTGGCTCAGTGATAAAGAATCGCCTCCAAACAGGGGCTGTGGGTTTGATCCTTGGCTCAGGAGGATCCTCTGGAGAAGGAAATGGCAACCTACTCCAGTATTCTTGCCTGCCATGGGGTGGCAAAAGAGTTGGATAGGACTTAGCAACTGATCAACAACAACAACAACAACAACAGTGTAACTGCTCAAGAGACAGACCGCAGTTGTCGAAAGTTACATTGGCTAGGTGGGTGGGGAAGATTATGCCCTGTGGCCCACTTCGGCTCTAATAATCTATCATTGTTTTTTGCAGTTTTAAATAAAATGACATTAAGGTTTTAATCAGAATCAAATATCTTGTCTACCACTCACTTTGTCAATTGTATAAATGTTGCCTATCTTGCAGCATAAAATGTTTTGTGCACCAAAGCCAGAATTACTAGTGAAAGGACCAACTTCTCTAGAATAGGGTTGCAAATTTTAATTCTTTTGTTCCTTTAAGAAGGCTTAGCGTGATGCCAAGAAAAAAGTGATCAATAAATACCTAATGAGTTAAATTAAATCTTCAAGGAAAGAAGTCCACTTCATTTTAGGGGTTTAGAGAAAGCAAACAGTTTCAGGATCTGTCCCAGTACAAATACGGTTTCTCCTCTCATTTCTGTCCTGAGCACTTTACATATTGTAGGTGCTTGATAAATATTTATTGAGTGATGATTGAATGACTGTCCTCTTTAACATTTATATCAATAACTTGAAGACTCTGAAGGCAGGTTTATTCAATTAGCAGATGACACAAACCTGACAGGGAACGCTGGTGTGGCAGCTGGTATTTGCCATGTTCAAAAGGATTTTGACAAGCTACCAGAACAGTAGAGAGTCAGCAAAATGAGATCTAACCACTGCATTCCAAAATTCAACAGTATGTATATGCTGCTGCTGCTACAGGGCCTCTTTTCATGGAATTTCACATGGGGTTTTAGTTGATCATAAAGTCAATAGGAACCAAAAAGGCTATAAGCTGCATTACTGGAACTGAATTGCTAGAACTAGAACAGTTACTGGAACTAGAACTATAATATCCTGGACTTCATCCACTTCAGACTCCCAGCAGGAGCTCTCATTCAACCTCTGTTTGAGGCTGTCCAACCACAGGGAGTTCTTGACCTCACATTCTGAGTGTGGATTGTCAAATTGTTCCATTG